TCCCCGCTTCATTTGCAATTGCGATGTGTCTAATTTGCATCTCTTTTACGGAAAAGGGATGCAGTCTAGACACAGCCAGAGTGGATTATTTTGGAGAATTATCCACAGTGATTCCAAGATCTCTCTCTTGAGTAGTTGTAGACAAATTAGTCCCCGTTATATTGTATGTCTAGTTGGGATTATTTTTTCTAATGTGCATTACTTTACATTTATCAACATTAAATTTCATTTGCCATATTGTTACCCCTGGGAATTCATTTCTGCACCAGCACTAGGGCCATTCGGGAGGTGAGATTGCATATTCCTTGTTCATGTGATATTGGAGCGTCAATTTAGTCCCTAGCATAGTCTAGGACTGTGTTTCTCAACCTTTTTTTATAAAGTACCCTTTAAAAAAATTATAAGTACCCCCAGTACCTATAGTTTTCAGAGACAATTTTTTTCTACCATTGCAACACATTTGTTTAAACAACTTAATGGTAGCCGGGGGGGGCGATGACATTTTTGGGTGTAAAAAGTACAAAAATAAGAAAACTTAAAACAAAAATTCAGTTTTCTCCAAATTTCAGTTGTGTGGACGTACCCCCCAGACTTCTCTTTAGTACCCCTAAGGGTACTGGTACCACTGGTTGAGAAACACTGGACTAGGACAATTTAGTCCCTCTTGGATCATGGCAGCCAAGAATCAGTAGAATGCAGGGCTGCTCCAACTCCTTCTGCTACACCTGCCCTGCCTTTTCCCTCCTCCAGTGCACCCCCAGCCTGCCCTCTGCACTGGGAAGGAGTGCAAGTGGAGGGGGTCTTCTGCAGATGTTCTTGCTCCAGTGGTAGGCACAGAGACCTCATATACACCTATTCTCTCACTCCTTTGTGGCAACGTGGCCAGCACAAAGGGACTGTGGGGCAGTGACCCATCTGACCTGGTGTTTCTATAGCAGCTTCTACCCTGAGGATCAGCAATCGCTAACCAGGCTTTGCACTGGCAGGGAAGCCCTTAGCCTTGGCCACTGACACCGAATCTCAGACATCCATGGCATTGCACATCTGCCCTTGCCTGGGAACTTCTCCCGGAAGCTGCTGGAGTTTTCCTCATGCCATCGCCCTGCCCGCTCATCTTGCTGTCTCCATCCACTGCCCTTTGGGATGTTGGCAGTCAAGGGAAATGACTTTCCTCCCGCACGGCTGATGGTTTGGGATGTAAACAAGGAGGCGGTCTTTCTGTGCAGCCCGGAGCCCCACGAGGTCATAGACACAACTGCAGTGACCTCATGAGAGTGGATTGCGCCATCTTCCCCAGGGATACGGGCAGTGCCCTGTACCCTGGAAGGGAAACCCTGGCAGCTGTTCAGGATCCAGTTACTGGCTAAAACCAGCTGTTCTCAAGTGCTGAGTGCCCATTAGGAGACGCTCAAGGCTTGACTCACAGAGGTGCTAAGCACCCACAGTGTCAGCAGGGATGAGGAAGCTGCGGGGTCCTCAGCTCTTTCCAGATGAGGGCTTGGATGGCTGGAGCCAGACATCCAAAAACAGCCACTCCCCAAAACTGGACAACACTCTTGAAGGTGAATGCTTCACCCCCTTCAAAATCTCTCTCAGAACTGCCAGCAGAAACTGATTGATCGTTCTTAAGTCAGTGACAATAAATGAGGAGTAACGTTAGTTCAAACCAAGGGGTTTGGTTAGAACGAACGCGTCCCGATGTGCATGTCCTGGTCCGAATCAGCTGTGATTCGAACTAGTGCATGGTGAGATCTTGCTAACGAAGTGCGGGATATTTAAATCCCCGCTTCACTGATTATTTCGAATGCCTGCATTTTCATCCCTTGTTCGAACTAGGGTGCAAGTGTAGACATACCTTTAGGGTATGTCTACACTAGCTCGTTAATTCGAGCTAGATAGGGTAATGAGGGCGACCGGAGTTGCAAATGAAGCCTGGGATTTAAATATCCCAGGCTTCATTTGCATGTTCCCGGGTGCTGCCATTTTTAAATGCCCTGTAGTTTGAACTCCCTGCCCGCAGCTACACGCGGCATGGGCTAGGTAGTTCGAATTAAAGCTCCTAATTCAAACTATTGTTACTCCTCGTGGAATGAGGAGTAACGGTAGTTCGAATTAGGAGCTTTAGGTAGTTCGAATTAAAGCTCCTAATTCGAACTACCGTTACTCCTCATTCCACGAGGAGTAACAATAGTTTGAATTAGGAGCTTTAATTCGAACTACCTAGCCCATGCCGCGTGTAGCTGTGGGCAGGGAGTTCAAACTACAGGGCATTTAAAAATGGCAGCACCCGGGAACATGCAAATGAAGCCTGGGATATTTAAATCCCGGGCTTCATTTGCAACTCCAGTCGTCCTCATTACCCTACCTAGCTCGAATTAACAAGCTAGTGTAGACATACCCTTAGAGACTAACCAAAATATATAGAATCATGAGCTTTCGTGGGCAAAACCCACTTCAGCAGATGAATTGGAGTGGAAATAACAAAAACCAAGATATATATATAATAGTAGAAGTAGTACTTGTCAATTGTAGGACCCATGTTAATGAGGCTAATTAAGTGGGCTGGATGTGTCCCATACATAGATTTTGATATGGAAATGCAGATATTAATGGCAGGAGAAATTGGCTTTGTAATGCTTCAACCTGTTAATGGCTTTGTTACCCTTGGCCTAAGCCAATTTCCCCTGCCATTAGCATCTGCATTTCCACATAAAAAGCTACGTATGACCAGTGTTAATTAGCCTCATTAACTTGGGCCTTACAATTGACAGAGACGTCTGCTGTTACATTGATCTCTTGATTTCTGTTATTTTCACTCCAATTCATCTGAGGAAGTGGGTTTTGCCCACGAAAGCTCACGTGCGTCTATCTATTTTGGTTAGTCTCTAAGGTGCCATGGGACTTCTTGTTGTTTCTGAAAACAAGAGGCTGCCATGCATAAACTGGGATCACGGGGGCTTTGCAATTTGATTCCCCTTATGAGGAGGTCTCGCTGCTTTCTGGCCAGTACTATTTTTTTCTTTTAAAAATAAAGGCTGCGCTCAGAAACAACCATCCAAGCCCACACCAGCCTGAGATGCCCAGTGCTCCCACACACCCCTGCAGTGCCAAGCGACTATGCACGCACACAGAGGAGAAAAGGTCAGACAAATTAATTGCAGATGCACGTTTGATTGCTTAGAGGGTGTTATATAAACGCCAGTGAGAAGACGAGGTTGTGGCAAAGCATTATGTCACTCCCTCTCCCAGTGCTGTGTCCCTTTGCCCTTCCTGAGTCTGTGACTTCCACAGTCATTTTGGCTTCTGTTGACAGCCTGTCTGTGTGCTGATGGCTGGGATCAGCAGAGGACTGTACTGGCCACTGCTCTGCCTGGAGGGCTGCTAAGGCAATGCCACCGCAAGGGCAAGGCTGTTTTCTGATCGCAAGGAGCTCTGCCGTGCTGACCCTTTGCTTCATGCAGCCTTGGAGGTTTGCTGCTGTGTACACTCTACCCACTGTCCCCTACCACAGCACCTCATCCTGCACATGCAGAGACTCCTTCAAGACCCGGAAGGGTCACACTTCATGCTCCTGCATCCCTTGGCCGACCAGGCAGCCACTGTAGGGTAGAATCCTAGAACTGGAAGGGACCTCATGAGGTCATCAAGTCCAGTCCCCTGCCCTCACGGCAGCCCCAAGCACCATCTGGACCATTTTCTATTGAGCCCCTGGTCTTCCCAACTCAAGCCCTGTTTCGGCTGGGGTTAGAACACGAAAGCCCAGCTGGAGACCCACCCAGAGACCCACCGCCCAGCCGAGGGAAGGGAAGAGGGAAAGCTGCGGATGGTCAGGCTCTAGCAACACAGAAAGCGTGGCTTGAAAAACCAACCTGAGCCTGCCACCGTGAGGAAATCACTGCAAAGCAAGAGCTGGGGCAGGCTCCCGAAGCTCCTGTTCGCGCGACCTCCTGGCTGATTGTTGGCGCCACCCGAGTGCTGTCCTCCCGGGCCAGGCTGGCAAGAGCTCAGCATCTCCGGAGCCCCCAGGCTGCAGCTGGCCAGGTGCCGAGCAGGCCTGGACATGCAGGTACCGGTGGTGCAGTGGGAGTCAGCTGCGGGCCCAGCGCTTCTGAAAACCCCTCCCTGCGTGCCCTGCGGCGGAGACGGGTTCTCCCAGCGTACACGGACAGGCCTGCACGGGGCACTGAGCTAAAAACAGCAACAAGGTGGTTCTGGCACGGGTGGCCGCAGGGGCGCTCCCCTCCGCCCGACCCCCTCGCCAGGCCGCACTGGACGCCCACAGTGCTGTTTTTCACCTGCAAGCTCTAGCAAGTTTTTCTCCCCAGGCTGGCTCCCAGCGGCAGCATAGACCCCAGGCTCTGGGGGTGGGTGCGGAGCACACAGAGATCTGCCCCCACATGCGAGCCCTTTGGGGCAGCCAGCAGCCCTTTGCTCCTCCGTTCGCTGCCTGGGAGCGCCCGGTGCCATTCGCACCCAAACACTCCGCGCTCAGAGCTCAGCCCAAATCCCACACTTGAAACAGGTTTATTTTCAGCTGAAGCACCAGGCTGCTGTCCAAGCTCACAGGCTGCTCGTCTCCAGAGCGAGCTGAGCCCAGCCTGCTAGCAACGCCCGTTGCCATGACGCTGGCCGGCAGAAAGGCCTAGTGCAGGCCGAGGCGTTAAAATATAATCACCCCTGCACGACCCCCATCACGCCGGCCCCTCCGCCCCAGCTCTCTGCTGAGCGTTTCAGGAGCAGCGGCTGGGG